TTGGGAAAATCCCTCTCAACCAATCACACCTTGCAACTGATCACAGGAAAGCCTCAAAATCATTACAAGTGTTGCAGGCAGTCATGCTCAATCAAAGTAGACATAGGAAATTAAAACCATCTTCAGTATGATCCACAGCAGTTCTCAACCTGTGGATCAAGACCCTGTTGGGGTAAGATATCCCACTTAGCAGATATTTACATTGCTAATAGTAACAAAATTATGAAATGATTTTATAGTTGGTGGTGACCACAACATGAGAAACTGTATTAAAGGGTCAAAGCATTAGGAAGGTTGAGAACCACTGATCTATAGGGTAACTTAATATGATTGTTTATTACCACATAAGTGTAATAGGTAATTTGCCTATTTTCATGATAGTCATCCTTCAGGATGAATGGGGGGGTTGGGTGATTCCAGGACCACGGTAGATACTTAAATCCTGAGATGTTCAACACCTTATATAAATTATACATTTATATTTAACCTATATTCTCCTTTAAAAATACCTAATACATCGGAAATGCTAAGCAATAATTATCACTATATAGTTTAGAAAACAAAGAAAAAGCATGTATTTGTGTAGTATAAACACTTTTTTTGAGGCTAGTTCTTGGGTAGTCAAGGGAAGACCTTGAACTGCTGACCCCCCTGTCTCTAACTTCCCAAGTGCTAAGATTACAGGTGTGTGCTACTACAGGAAGTATTTGCTGGGCTAGAGATCAAACCCAAGGCCTCAAGCATGCTAAGCAGGCTCTTTACCAACTGAACTACATCTACAACTCCAGATATTTTTTTCCCCTCCAAATATTTTCCATTTCAGTTTGGCTGAATTTCTGTATGCAGAACTCATGGGCACAGACAGTTAATTGTACCCAATTACCACAAAAGGCTAATTAAAATCTTCATGACTGAAAAGATTTGGAATATTAAAAAGTGCACTCAGTTTTCTCCTCCTTAAAACAAAGAATGTCTGGGAAAAATATATATAACACACACACACACACACACACACACACACACACACACACACACACACACACACACACACAGTACCTCACCCCTAGAACAAGCCTTGGACGCTAATGACTGTATTCCTATTACTGTCAACCATGGTGACTTTCTTCCAGATCTAGCTAAAAGGGTACATTTGTCTCTAATCCTCCAAGAATAATTGCTTCCTTCGCACACTGAAATACGAACTGTAGTATATAACAAGTAAATTATGACCAAACAATAAGCATCTGTCTCCATGGTTGTAATAAAAGCTTAAAGTCAAGCTGACCCTAGGGGCTCACACCTGTAATCCCAGCTACTTGGGAGACTCAGGAGGATTAACCATAAGGTTCAAGATCTGCTGCTATACAGTGAATTCTAGGCCAACCTGAGTAGCTTAGATGGATGCTGCATTAAAATTAAAAAACAGAGATGGTTATGTGTGTGGAACAAGTCTATATCCAACTTTTGGGAGGTAGAGGCAGAAGGATAAGGAGTTCAAGGTCACCCCCAGCCACAAAGAGAGCTTGAGGCTAGAGAGCCAGGGCTAAGGCCCTATCTCAAAACCAAACCTAAAAAAATAAATAAAAGGTCCAGACCAGCATGGTGGCAGAGCCTTTAATCCCAGCACCGAGGAGACAAAGGTAGGATTTCTGTTTGTTCAAGGCCAGTCTGATCTACACAGAAAGTTCTACTAGGACAGCCAGAGCTACAAAGTGAGACCCTGCCCCCCCCCCAGAGAGAGGGGGGGGTACCTTTCATTGCCTGAGTTTCTTCCCTAGCACCTTATGTCAGCACTTAGGAATGGGTTGAGAAAGACACAGGGAGTGCAAACTCCTCCTTCTGCCAAATTCTTTTTAAGTACTAGGGGTCCTGCCATCTCAGTCCCCGATAAAAAGGAAAACAAGCATTGTTCTCTGGGCAGCCTTGCTTCCAAGACAGATCTAATCTCTTTATAAGATTCTTTAGCTTATCAGATAACCTTCAAACCAGAAATATTTCTATGACCTTTTCTATGATCTTTGTTTTGTTTTGTTTTTTCGAAACAGGGTTTCTCCGTGGCTTTGAAGCCTGTCCTGAAACTAACTCTTGTAGACCAGGGTGGTCTCAAACTCACGGAGATCGGCCTGCCTCTCTGCCTCCTGAGTGCCGGGACTAAAGGTATGAGCCACCACCGCCTGGCTTCTTATGATCTTACGAAATGTCAAAATCCACTTTTTCATTTCTTACCAAACATAAGTTTTCTAATCCAATCTTTTCTTGGTGCTTCTGCATCTGCTTACCCCTCTGCTATTTCCTATATTTCATCCATTTCACCTACATTCATAAGTTATTTTTATCTCATTTTAAAACCCTTGAAACATTAAAAGTAGATAGTACAATTTTCTCTCATGCAGAAATGGTTCATTCACAGCTGTCCAATTTAATATTTTTTGTACCACTCTAAAATCAGTTTGAGTGAAATAGCAAAGCAGGGTGCACACAAACATGTCAAAAATGCCAGAGACTTACTTTCAATTTTCATTCTACCTTAAGCTGTCTCTAAATGTGAGTTTAAGTAATGCTCATTCATTATCTGATGTGCCAGACATTGTGCTAGGTCCTATGGATACAAAGATAACAAACAAGGGGCATGGCTTAGTGGCAAAGAGAAGAGCTACTTAAATTTACAGTGTAGTGTGATAAGTGCTATAGCCACATAAGGCCACATGGCCAGACTAGAGTGTTCCACCTCAGGAGATTCAGTGCAGACTCAGCCAGTAAGAGCCTGCTTACTCAAAGTCTATGACTTCCCTCAACCCCCAATAGTCAAATAACAAAAACACCTTTGCATTAGCTTAACCCAGACAGCACTGTGAATCACACCTGTCTGAAGTCATGTTGTGATCCAGAATTGTAAATCACTTGCTAGCTGGAACTAAGCATAATTTTGCATAAGCATCTGAGCACAGCCTTTGGCCTCCATTACCTTTTTCTGCGTTTCCTCAATCTCTACATGCATAGACAGAATCTTTTGTTGCTAAATTAGTAAAGACCAAGGTGTCTTACCTTCTTGTCCCATTAACTGTACTTAAATCCTGTTACTGTACTTATTTTTAACTACCACCACCTTCAAACAAACAAACAAACACTAACTATCCCTCCCCCAAAACCAGCTTGCTCTCAAAGGGACATCTATGTGAGCCAAACAACCTCAGAATTACAAATGCACTGGCGCCTTACACAAATCCAGTCCCCATACTGATGCACCTATTATCAACATCTGTGTGCCATTTTTATCCCCAAACAGCTAAAACTCATGTTCTCCTACCATTCTACCTGATCAGTTCTTAGCAAAATTCATCTAGATTTCTTATCCCTCACAAATCCTTGTTCCAGACTAAGGATATAATACAAACAAAACATGATTACACCTCCATTGCTTCAGTGAGATAACACGAAGACAAGCCAACCCCCCAAAATTGGATGGCATGCTTCATTAAATCTGTGCATACCCAGAGAAAACCCAGAAACAGTATTGTTGGGCAACTTTTTCAGTTCTCCAGTATGAGAGAAATACAAATCAGGGCACCTATTTCTCTTATGTATCACAGCAATTAAAGCCCTTTTCCAGGTGAAGGCAGTACAATGAATAGAGCAGATCCTTCCATGCTTTATTGAGAAGCTAAACCTTCATTCATCTCTAAATTCCAGATAGGGCTTTTCAGAGTCCTGCTGGGTCTCATCAGAAGACCAGCTTGGGAGTGGTTGCTGCACACTCCCCTGGTCCCTTCTCCACAAGTGCCACTCTATTCCAGGTCCCTGTTGGGAGGTGTTTGGAGCTACTATAAACATCTTGTCAAGCAAAATGTTACTTTCTCTGGACAGACTAGTTTTTGTTTGGTTTTTAATTTTGCCTACCTACCTACCTACCTACCTGTGTTTTTGATACCTACCTAGCTTGCTTTGTCAACCAAGCTGCCTCAAACTCAGAGATCCACTTGCCTCTTATTTATTTATTTGTATGTGTTTTTTTGAGGCAGGGTTTCCCCATGTGTTTCCAGCTGTCCCAGGACATGCTTTGTGGACCAGGCTGCCTCAAACTCAAGAGATCTACCCGCTTCTGCCTCCTGAGTGACAGGGCTAAAGACTACTATGCCCAGCTTAATACGCTAGTTTTTAACTTCCTACAAGTCCCTTGTTCTTGAGTGAACACATTATTTTATCTAGCTTTTAACTTGCTGACAAACCAATTCTAAACTTAAGGGGTCAAAACTTTTAGAAGCAATCACAAGGAACTATATAAGGCCTCTCAAACAGTCTCTCCAAGAAAGAGTGTCAGGCTAAATTTCCCTACTTCCACAGAACACAATGAAACCGTTGTCAAATCACGAAACACATCCACAATTTTTTCCCTACTAATAATTCTCAATCTTCTGCCCCAAGTCATTAAATGGATATGAAAAAAAAAAAAAAAAAAAAAAAAAAAACAGCTATCCAAGGTCACTCGGGGGTGTCAGAACCAAGGGTCAAACGTCCAGTCTTCGGACTGAGAGCTCACTGTTTTCTGTGTTTTTCTAGTCCTTTAGACCTAAACTACATGTCACCATTGACATCATTCCAGAAGCCAAACTTCTGCCCTATCAAATTGGCACGATCAGTTATTAGTCAGTCTCCCAAACCTTTCTTTCCTTTGCCCTATTCCCAGACCCTAGCACTGACAATTACCCTGCTTTCCGAGCACGCACGTCAAGTTATCAGAATGCGTTTACACCAAAAATAAAATACTTGCAAAGCTTCGCATAACAACTGTCCAAAAAGAGAACTGGCTGTCCTCCAAGAACAGGAGGTGGCTATGCTAGCTAATGGGCCAAGGTGGCTCTTTCTCACGGCCACGAGGGAAGCACAGACCTCCTAAAGATCCCGGAGGCGACCGCACTGTCCCGGCCGGGGTCGTGGAGGACCTGGTCACCCAGGTATGAGACCCAAATCCCCGGCCACCGATCCGCGCCCGCGGGCCTCACCTTGAGCGTCTCGTAGGCGGTAGCCACCAGGAGGAAAGCTTCGGCGCTCGGCGGCGCGCCCCCGGGACCGTCGCCCGGCTCGGGCCGGTAGCGGTCGGGGTGGTAGCGCCGGGCCAGCTGGCGGTAGGCCCGCGCGATCTCCGCCTTGCTGGCCGAGCGGCTCACGCCCAGCACCTCATAGCAGTCGCGCGTGCCACAGTACAGCCCCTCCACCAGGGCGTCGGCGGGCCGCGCCAGCAGCGGAGCCAGCAGCAGCGGCGCGAGCAGCAGCCATGGGCGCCGGCCGGCAGCCCCCGGCCCCCCGCGCGCAGCGAGCCGCGCCGCCATCCCCGCCTCGCTCGCCGCTCTACCACCGCAGGGGCCGCCGCTCTCCTCGGCGCTGGGTTCGGCCCCGCGGCCCGGTCCACGTCAGCAGGCCGCGCCTGTGCGCAGGCGCGGGGGCGTGGCGCCGCAGTCACTTCCTTCCCCGCGCGTTGCTAGGTGAGGAGGACGCCTCAGCCGCTGCCGGCCGCTTCCGGCGGGCTTCGGAGCCGCGGCAGCCGGATGCACAGTCTATTCTGAGGTGGGGTAGAAGTCTGTCTGTCAGGGGCGCGCGTGGCCGCGCGGTGCGGAGCAGCGCATACGCAAGAATAGCCACACGCCACCTTCTTGACCTCGGGACTTCATCCGCGGGAGTAGGAGCTCTGGGCTCTGGCATCCCGTCTCCAGGCCTGGACGCCATCCTTTCTCTGAGGCTCTCACCAAACCGAGGATGAACCTAGACAATTCCCGGTGCTGCCTGTCTCACAGGAACCCTGAAAGTTGATGGCCTTTTAGTTTCCTGTTTCTTAGCTTATTTATATTTTGGAGCAAATAATCATTTCCCTGGGGGGGGGTGTTGTAAAATGTTTAGTAGCATCCCTGTACTGTCCACAATAGGTGTTGGTAACATTACCCATCCTAATTGTGACAATAAAACAGCTCAAGGGTGTATTTGGGTTTACAGTTCTAGGGAATACAGCCTGCACGGTCACTCGGTCCACGGTCGTCGGGAAGGCTTGGTAACAAAGCACTAGGCACACTGTATCTGCAGTTGGTGCAGAGAAATGAAAATGGTGACAAATTTGTTTTCTTTTTATTTGAGGCAACGCACCACTGCACTTGATGGGGCTGTCCATATTCTCACCTCAGTTAAACTTTTCTGGAAAACAGACTCGTACAGTCAGTGAGAGGTGTGTTTCCATGGTGATTCTAAATCCAGTCAAGTTGATAAAATCAACCATGGCAAGTATATCCCACGTGACTGACTAGCAACTTGTTAACAACTATATTTTCAATCTAGCAATTGGGGATTGTCCTGCACTCTGACTTAATATTTGATAGACAGTGTTAGAAACTCAGAGGGAATACAATTTCAATTTTCTAGTATCATCATGTGCTTTAGCTCTCTATAAACTTCAATTGTTTAATTTCAAATCAATTCAAAATGAGCCAAATCCAAATATTTTTTCCCAAGGCGGGAAGTGTCTGTTAATAGTTACATTTGCAGATTTGAAGTACACTCATGCTGTGGTGGTTGGGATAAGAATGACTCCCATAGGTTCATATATTTGAAGGCTTAGTTGTTAGGGAATGAGATTCTTAAGATTAGAAGGATTAAGAGGTGTGGTCCTGTTGAAGAAATGTGTCACAGAAGTAGGCTTTGAAGTTTTCAAAAACCAAACTGGGCCCAGTATTTCCCTCTTTTCCTTTGTCTGAGCCTGTGGATTAGGATGGAGTGCTCAACTTCTCTAGGACCATGCCTGCCATGCCTTCAGCCATGATGATAAGGGACTAAACCTCTGAAACTGTAAGCAAGGTCCCAATTAAATGCCTTCTTTTATAAGAGTTGCCTTGGTCATGGTGTCTCTTCACAGCAACAGAACAGTGACTACGACACACAGCTAATTCACACACACATTGTAGGAAGTATCAGAATTTTAAAAATTTCAAAGTGTAGTCAGGTGGTGGAGGCACACGCCTGTAATCCCAGCACTATCGAGGCAGAGGCAGGTGGATCTCTGAGAGTTTTTGGCCAGCCTGGTCTACAGAGCTTGTTCCAGGACAACCACGACTACACAGAGAATTCAAAGTGGAGAAAAAAAAAGTTTGACATACATATATTTTTTACTGTTTTAGTGTGCTTTTTGTTTTGATTTAGTTGTTTTGGTTTTTGTTGTTGTTGTTTTTAATGACACAGGTCTCACCATGTAGCTGACCTAGAGTTACTGTGTAGACCAATCTGACCTTAAACTTGTGACAGTCTTACTGCCTCTTCCTCCTGAGTACTAGGGTTAAGGAATGAGCCACCATGCCTGAGCCACCATGCCTGACTTTTTTTTAACTGTGTGTTTTTTTTAAAGGTTTATTTGTTATATATACAGTGTTCTGCCTCCATGTATGTTGTAATTTAAGAAAAGTGGTGCCTGAGAGAAAGACACTGTGTGGCAGGGCTCAAGCAGAGGTTGTGTGTTTGTTTTGTTTTGTGTTTTAATTAGGAAAGGGATCATAAAGAGGGGAAAGGGAAGGGAGGAGACCAGCCTCCAGAGACAGGAACAGCAGGAAAGAAGAGGGGGAGAGAAAAGGTGGAGAGAGGGGGGGGATAGGAGGTGGGCAGAGCCCTTTTAAAAGGGAACATAGTGAAAGGGAGCACAGGTACTGCTCTTAGTGGCTGCAGCTGAGAGTGTATCCTGTCAGAACCCCAAGGACAGACTAGGACAGATGCCTGAATATAAACAATGTATGCCTGCATGCCAGAAGAGGGCACTAGATTTCATCATAGATGGTTGTTAGCCACCATGTGGTTGCTGGGAATTGAATGAACCCAGTGCTCAACCTCTGAACTATCTTTCCAGCCTCTTTTTAACTGTATTTTCAAAAGCTAATTTGAAGCAGGGTGGTGGTGCGTGCCTTTAATCCCAGCACTTGGGAGGCAGAGGCAGGCAGATCTCTGTGAGTTCGAGATCAGCCTGGTCTACAAGAGCCATTTCCAAAGCTGGGGGAACTAATTTGAGCATTGCTCTTGAACTTAATTTTGTATAATGTGTGCTCACTGCAAGTAGACTGATAACTCAATGGCTTAATGATGTGAGAGATGTGATTTATAGCATAGGAACAGCATCAGTTTCACTTAGTCAGATTTGTATGAATGTAATCTCCCTTTGGCTTCTTAGTATATGCCTACTCTTTATTAAGTAAATACTGAGTTGTGTGTGGTATGTATGCCTGTAATCCTAGCATTCCAGATGTAGAAATAGAGGATCCAGATATTGAAGCTAGCCTAGACTACATGGTACAATCTTGACTCAAAAGAAAAAAAAAGTTAATATATATTTTCCCCTTATTGTTCCTGAAACCCATCCACTTAAGGAGAAAGTCCTACCTGTGTCAACTGGAGTTTTCCTCGTATTAATCATTTGGTACTGCTTAACTCACATGTCACCACACAAGAACGAGATTCTTCTGATTCTCCCACTCTTCAGGCATTCATATTTGGAATAAGCAAAAAAAAAAAAAAAGAATAGTTCATACAACACACCCTGATTGCGTCTATATCCTGTACCCACTTGCTTGCTGCCACCCTCGGAGAGCCACAGAAACATATTGCTGGGGAAAGAATTTTGAAAGAGGACTCAGCTTGTTCCATTGTACCCAGAGAGCAGTGCTGGTTCTGAAACTGTCCACCAGAGGGTGCAGGAGGGGAAAACTCCTGCAAATCTTAGCAGTCTTTTGTCTAAAATCCATGGTTCAGTGGTTTATACTTGCCCTACCCTTCCTCAGAATTCATGAATGAAGTACTATTCTAATGTCAAGAGAGTTTGAGGATCAAAGGAGAAATTTAAAAGTAACTCCAATACCTACTCCTGGTAAACTTTCTATCAGGTTGAAGTATGATTTTTTTTTTTCTAACTTTACCGTTTAAACTCTGGCAGTTGAATTTCGGTATCAAAAGAAAGAATATTTTCAAAGAAAGTGCTCCTTAGTCTCAGTTAAGTCAGATTTTGTGACAACGTCCCAAATTCTGCCCTGGCTGTGAACTATTCGATCCTTCTGAAACAAAACAAGCCCCAAACATGAACAGAGATGTAATCCTTAACTAAAGTGATATACAAAAGATACCAAGAGAGGTATCTTTTCAGGTAACAAACTATATGATTTTTTAAAATTATTACATGAAATGTAAATGTATTTGGTAAAATTCACAGCACTAAAGAACAAATGATTCTGCTCTCCAGCCATGTGTGCTCCATTGTTGCCTAGTCCCTGGTTTATTCTTATCGAAAATATTGTTGGGTTTGTGAGAGGGCTCGGTGTGTAAAGGCACTTGCTGCCTAGACAACCTCTCTGATCCCAGAGACTCACAAATGGCAAAAGGAAGACCTCACAGACATGTTGTGGAATACACATGTGTGTACACACAAACACACACACACACACACACACACACACACACACACACACCATGAAAAACAACTTTTCTTTGAAAATTTTTCCTGTAAGACCCTGTTTCCTCCAAGTCTTTGGCTCTGATCCCATGTCTGATTGAATAAAAGTGAAGAATAAGCTGCCACCACTGTCAGGATAAAAGTGTCCATGAGACAAGTGAAAGGTAGTTCCCAGGAATGAGAGTGTGAGAAGGAAGCTGTGCAGTCAAGGCTTGGTGCTGCACAGCTGAAACCGAAAAGGAAAGTTCACAGGAACCGTCTAGTGCATTTTGTGACTAAACAGAGCAAAATAAAGGGTGAAGTGGAAACCACCAGAAATGACCATTAAAATACCAGCACATAATAAAATATCATCTGAGGTGAAGGTATTTACCTGAAAATACTGAATGGATGATAAGACCTAGGGTTAGAAGCAGTTCAAAACCAAGCAGGCAACTGGGAAGATAAAGGATGGGACCAGATGCCTAGACACACACACTCTAGTAAAGAATGATACCATAGTTGTGTGTGTGTGTGTGTGTGTGTGTGTGTGTGTGTGTGAGTGTGCCCATGCTCAAGGAGGCCCAGAAGGGGGCCTCAGACCCCCTGAAGCTGAAGTGACAGGCAGTTATGCGCTGTCCCACATGGGTGCTGGACACTGAATTTAGTTTTTCTCCAAGAGCAGAAAGTGCTCTTAACTAATGAACAATTAATTTACATAAAGATAAATTCAACCAGTGACATAACTCCTGGAGTCCAAGCCCCGAAGCAAAAATACAAATAGTATGGTAACATAACTTCCCTTAGAATTACTGACACCACAGTAATGGTCACCTCGAGTACAGGTCTTCCTACTTGAAGGGCACACAAATAAAATTGTGTTTGTGGATTAAACATTTTGAACATAATTCAAAAGTTCTCCTATTGCAGTTAAAT